TAGCTGGTCGGCCAGTTTTCTGCTTTTTGCTCTTCTCATGTGCAACACAGCTGTGCCAGCTGTGAAGCATTTGACCCACTATCCGAGGGTTTTGTCCTTGTTTTGGTCCTTAAAAGGGGGGTTTGACCCCTTTGCTTGGTTGGTAGGAGGAGTTTGACCCTTTTGGTCAAGCTTCTTGAGGAAGCTTGACCCCTTTTGGTCAAGCTTCTTTTAGAAGCTTTGAACCTCTCTCTTGGCTTCTCCAAGAAGCCTTACTTCTCTCCCTCTATATAACCAACCCTCCATCTCATTTTGCAAGGGTTAGACATTTGGTTAAGGCATACACACTCCATCCTCCATAGCCTTCTTCTCCAAGCTCCAAACCCTAATATTCTTGGCCATTTTACACTACACCTCTAAGCCTAACACCTCCACCATCCATTCCAGAACCTTGGAACTCATTTTCAGAGGTTCAAAGCTCACTTTCTTGGTCTCTCTCTTGGGTCACTTTTTCTGGTTTTTTACCACAGGGCTGTGTTCTACTCATCGGGGAGGCCACCTTTCTGGGTAGGCCGACCGGCAATTTTGCTTGACCCTTTTGACCCTGGTCGGCCGACCAGGGGGAGTGGCCGGCCGGCCGGCCACCTTAGCTGGTCAGCCAGCTTTTTGCTTTTTGCTTTTTGCTTTTTGCTCTTCTCAAGTGTGTTCCAGCTGTGCCAACTGTTTTGCACTTGACCCACTGTCCGAGGGTTTTGTCCCTATTTTGGTCCTTAAAATGGGGTTTTGACCCATTTTCTTGGTTGGTAGGAGGAGTTTGACCCTTTTGGTCAAGCTTCTTGAGGAAGCTTGACCCCCTTTGGTCAAGCTTCTTTTAAAAGCTTTGAACCTCTCTCTTGGCTTCTCCAAGAAGCCTTACTTCTCTCCCTCTATATAACCAACCCTCCATCTCATTTTGCAAGGGTTAGACATTTGGTTAAGGCATACACACTCCATCCTCCATAGCTTTCTTCTCCAAGCTCCAAACACTAATATTCTTGGCCATTTTACACTACACCTCTAAGCCTAACACCTTCGTCATCCATTCCAACACCTTGGAACTCATTTTCAGAGGTTCAAAGCTCACTTTCTTGGTCCAGGGTTGGCTGCATTGCTGTGCTACAAGGGTAAGTCCTCATTTCTCCCATTTTTGCATTACTTTGCTCTATACCTTAGCTCCATTTTCAAGCATTTTTGAGCCTTGGTATAAACTGAAAATAGTCTTATTTCGAGCTCTTCTTCATGTTTGTTTAAGAGTACTTTTCTGTTTGAGGTCTCCTACCCCCTTGTATGCTTTATCTCTCTTTTAGGACTTATTTTGCATGATATATTAGCCTTATTTGTGAGCATTTTTGGACCTCGACCTAAACTAAAGAAAGTCTTGTTTTGACCTTCTCTTTAAGTTTGATTGAGGTCACTTTACTGTTTGGAGTCATTTTCTTCCTTGCATGCTTCATTTCCCCATGCTTTGAGCCATGCATGTGAGCATTTGCAATGGCCTTGTTTTGGCCTCTTAGCCACTGAAATCCAGTGGATTTTCAGTGGCCTTGATGTGTTTTTGAGCTCCAAAATCATAGAGGGGTGACCCTTTCACCCCTCATTCTCTTTACTAGCATTGTTAGCCTTCCAAAGGGACCCTATTTTGCATGCATTGAAGTCATGTTTCAGGCCTCATTTTGAGGGTTTTAAGGTCTACCTAAGCTCTGTCAAGAGCCCATTTTGTCATATTTTATGTCTATGATGCATGTATAGAGCAATCTCATTCAAGGCCTTTCAAAGGGGCCTTTCTTTGCATGTTTCTGAGACTGATTTCAAGGCCTATTTGGTGGGTTTTAGGGCTGTCATAACTCATTTCCAGAGGTGGTTCTACCATGTTACATGTCTATCTTGTATGTGCTTAATAACACCTTGTATGGCCCTCTAAAGGAGCTCATCATTTTTGCATGCATTGGCTGCATTTCAGTGGTTATCTAGGCATATTTTGTCATGTTTTATTCACTGTTTTTGGCTGTTTTGATGAGTTCTCATACGCTTCATATACATGCCATGTAAACCATGCTTGCTAGCCGAATTTGCATGCTATTTTTGTCCATCATATTAGCACTTTTTGGCCATGCTTTAAACTAGAAATATGCATGTTTTGGGACTGCCTTGGCTCTATCTTTATACTTCATGGTCAAATAATGCTTGCTTTGCATAGTTATAATTCAATACATGTGCCTAGCTTTGAGTTTCAGAGCTTATTTCATGCATCGGGTGCCTTATTTCCATGTTTTGGGATCATTTAGCATCATGTTTCAGTGCTGGAGATTACATGTTTGTATGCCATCTTTCATCCCTTACCATGCTTTGGTAGAGTAGCATTTTATGCCTTAGGTTCGGTCCTCGGTATGCGTGCACGTGTACACGCATTTCGGTTGTCTCTTTTCCATCTAATGGCCACTGATGTGAGTGTGGCTGAGGTCCACTCATGTTGGTGTAAGTCCATCATGCATTGTGTATGCCATTTCAGTCCATTGCATTGTGTATGCCATGTTACATCGAGCATTGTGTATGCCATTTCATAGCATTGCGTATGCTAAGTTGTATGTTAGTCGCATTGTATATGCCATCTTATTTGCATTGTGTTTGGGATAGGAGTTAGCCCGAGCACGGGAAACGAGGTACGTTTCGTACTCCAAGTGATGGAACGTGTCTCAATTCCCTGTCGCCGACACTCCGGATTACCCATGATGGAGTTTAGGTCTTGTTGTGTTTTCATGTGCATTCATTTCATATCGAGTCATGCAATTCGACTCCTCAGCCATCATGCATCGATATGCGTGATTGGTGGCACAAGGATTAAGGACTACACTCCCTGAAGAGTAGTCATGCATACATATGTGAAAATACTTTTCAATGCCCCTGTGTTGCTCTCTGTTGCAGTAAATCAGAAATTAGCAGCCTTCTGGAGCTTTGCACAATATTCCGAGAACAATTGCAAACAGAGGCAAACCGGGGCATCGCAATGGATTTCCACGCAAGGCAACTTAAGCATGCATCATTTATCATTCGGAACAGCGTTGAGGCAGTCTATGGATTTGCGTGCTAATTTATCTACTTTCCTAGATTAATCTGTTAATTTATTAGGATTTTGTATTTTTTCGGATTGTACTATTCACTTCAGACTGTAATATTTATTCGGACCCTCCGGGCGAGGGCACAATGTTGTAATAAGTGTGCGTGTGTGTGATGTATGTCTTCCAACCCCACGTCTTTCTCCCTTTTATTTACCAGCTTGTGATGGTTAGATTAGGGCATGTTTCAATTAGCATACTTATGCTCGCATGTTTGCATCCATTCATCTGTCCTGCATGCACCGGGCTCGGCGCGTCATACTAACTGCATTTGTATTTCAATTCCAAATTGAATACGTGTTAGCTGTAGCATTATCAGATGCCATCTTAGAATAGCCGAGCCTATTGTAGTTGCATTTTTGCATGTGTTGCATTAGGCATTTCTGTATAATTAGGATCATGCATAGATTTCTAACATAACTTCTGTTTTAGCTTGGAGTACTCGGTAAGTGTTTATGCTTTAGCATTCTTGCATGTGTGTGAGTGACTGCCATGATAGCATGCTTACCATGAGGCTAATTGCTTATGTGATATACCTGCCTGAATGCTTGTGGGTGAAGGTTGGGTTATTTGGATTGGAGCAATTCATCAATTGTGAGTTTTAAGCCCACTTGAGAGTAGCAAATCATCATGTTTTCTAAGCCCATCTGAGCGTGGCAAATTCACATTTTAGCCTACTTGCGAGTAGAAAACCATTTTCAAAAACAAACATGAGATGTTTTGTTCCAATTCAGGCGATCCAGTCTATACTTGTATGCTGTGCGCATCACATAGTAAATCTAGATTAATAACCGGAATAAGAACGCATAATGTTTTCAAAACTAGATATCATGATTAGTAGAGGCCGATCTTTGATCGGGCGAGCGGGGGTGCTCACGAAGTAACCTTCCCCAATCGTACCCAAGTTCCCGAGCCGAGGCAACTTTGGTGATGACGGACGCGTGACCTTAGGCAACAAGTCAGGGTTTCCTAAATTCTCAAAAATAAAATATTTAGGTGACGACTCTGTATCTGGCAAAGCAGTCCATGTTTGGCACTTCTTTCAAAAAATCTGTTTTCAAAAACGATTTGCCGGATTTGGACTCTTTGATAATTTCATCGGTCTTGCATTGCACTCTGCGAGATTAGATACAAGACCGTGACACCAATTGAGTCCGAACTGTAGTGGGACCCGAGGGCGCATCTACAACATGGTATCACCTACCAACAACAACCCTAGAGTGAATCTCAATTTCTAAATATAACTATTTTGCCACATATATATACATGAGATTGTTAAATGATAAGATATTTTTGGATGATGATATTATGATATTAATGACATAGTATCACCATTGTATTAACTACTTCTTCTTCATTTTTGTTTTTTTGTTTTTTTTGAAGGATTGTATTGAGTGATTGTTGGACTTGATAGGTTATTTGTAATGGGTGTTGGGTTGGACTGGGCAGTTCTTTTCTTTTCTTTTTTGGATTGTTGGCCTTGGAGATACGCCTTATTAGATTATAATTGTCCGGTTTAATCTTATTATTCTCATATTTATAATTAATATCATATAGATTGGCAAAAACAAAATCATAACCTTAGTTTGTGCGGTGTACATCCCCATAATAATAGAAATTATCACATCGATTCAGAAAAACTAGATCACCTTGTACTCGATCAGTAATATTTTATGATTTGCCCATATTTATCCTAAGTTTAAAATATAACTTTATGACTTCTAAATGCAAAATCAAAACCATTCATGTGATTATTCCATTTCTCAATTAGTAACTGTAAATAGAAAGTTTTTAATAAATTTATTTGTACAAAATTCATTCATAGAAAAGACCACTGTCTCATGCATTATAAAGGATTGGAATAATAAATAACCCTAAAACTGCCAAAGTAGCATTAAATTCTTAAAAACATCAAATTACACTTGAATATTACAGAGCTTATCCTTCATTTTCTTGAATACATGTTCTACTACCCCCACCATCTCCAACCATTATCATACTTTTAATGGAGATGTGGCCAATGTTTGACCCTCCATTTGAACAAATCCTTCCTTATCCACTTCTGTACACTCTCTCTTATACACGTACACCTTTGATGCCCACAAAAAAGCCCCTATATTAAGTGTAGATATGACCAAAAGAAACAAATAATAGAAATCCAAATGTGAATCATTCAAATTGTTCCCAATCCAAGTCTTCCCTTTACCACCCCTTGCTGTAATCTTATCCACCACTGTCACCAGAAAGCTATTCAAAAAATTCCCAACTCCAATCCCACTAGTAAAAAAAGTCGTCCCAAGGCTCTGCATGTCCTCCGGTGACTGATCATAGAAAAACTCAAGCAATCCAATGGCATTGAACACATCGGCTATCCCTAATAGAACATATTGCGGCAATAACCAAAAAATGCTCATTGGAACTATCTCTTTAGACCCTGTGACATGATTGACTTTGATGACACGCATTCTTTTGACTTCAACTATGTATGCAATGGCAATGACTATGATTTGGATGATACACCCGATGCCAAGCCTCTGGAGGAGAGTGATGCCACGTTGGTTTCCGGTCCTCTTACGCATGAAAGGGATGAAGTAACGATCATACATGGGAACAGAGAGGAGCATTGAGATGGTCACGAAGCTGCCAAGGGAGGCTGCAGGGATTTGGAAGGTGGAGCTGAGGCGGCGGTCCAAGGTGGTGCCTTGTTTGACAAAAAGGGTGTTGACTTGTGCCCATATGGTGCTCGGGATTAGGGTTACTAACCATATCATGAACATGCTTAAGATGAGTTTGGTTCCTTCTACTTGGGTCACTGTGCATGGAGGCCTTGAGGAATTAGGGTTACCTTCTTTGATTGCAGCCTTGTCCAAAAACCTGAGGACAAAATTGTATGGTTTTACTTGGAATAACTCACAGTAACATTAACAATGCTATTATGATATACATAATGACGAGTTTAGATTTTTCAAAAATCTTTTCGAGTTTTCAATCCATACTTTTTGGTTTTAGTGAATTTTTTAATATTTTAATCAAATTCTTTTAATTTTTAGATATACTTTTTAGATACATTTAGAAAAACAAAATTTGTGAAAAAACTTTAAACTATTCACTAAATACATACGTACATATATATATATATATAGTACAATTTAGTATTTTGTGTATATATTTTATTCCTTTTAGATTTCTTCGTAAATATTACTTTTTAAAGTACATTTAAATTATATTGACTATTAACAAAAAAAATCAATAAAACCAACAAAACACGAAAAATAAAAAATAAAAATCAAATACTGTTTTTAAAAAACTCAAAATCAAACCGACTGACTATCATTAGTGGTGTGCATCAACCAGATTGAGCTTGCAATTTTAAACCCAAATATCTTAGAAGAACCTCAAAATCTCAAGTAGGTTCACTTGATTCAAATATGACTATTATTTTTTTTTTATTTTTAATTTTGGAGGGCTATTATATTAATTTGATGATTTAAAACCATTTACATAATTATTTAAAATTTGGAAATTTAAAAAATTCAATTGTAGATGGTTTAGAGTCTTTTAATAAATGTTTAAAGCCCTAAAAAAGTGCGGGCACACACACATATATAATTTATTATATAACTAAATTATATAAATATAAAAATTAATATTTTTTAAATAGATGGGCCATACCAAGTTAGAATTATTCATCCAATTACAAATCGTAAAATGAACGGTTCAAAATCTTAACACAATCCAATACTATGAGCGAAACTTCTTATCTCAAGTTCTTCAAGATATTGGCCCCGTTGGTAGGACTGTGGAAAAATGATTATAGATTATAACTTAACAGATTATGGCTTATAGCTGTGAATATAATGAAGAGAATACAGCTCCTAAATATCTTGTGTAACTGTTTTCTGTTACAACTTAGATTGAGTTAGTATGTAGTTGTATTAGAGTTAGTTAATCATAACAGTTAGTGATATAGTTAGTGCTAGTCCTGTACTACATAAACAATTGTATTACTGATTTCATTATTCAATAAAAGGAAAATATAGTTTCTTTCTACATGGTATCAGAGCATTGAATGCTCCCACGAGCTTTGATTCTCTCTCATGGCTGAGTTACCTTCAAACCTACCTTCCACTGTTGATTCTTCATTACCTTCAAATCTGAATCTCTTGATTTCTAATCTCAGTTCGTTTGTCACTGTTAAACTTGATTCCACAAATTTTTTGATTTGGAAAAATCAATTTCAAAACATTCTTAGGGCTACGAATTTGCTAGGGTTTGTTGATGGATCTTCGTTGTGTCCAGAAATTAAGGCTCAAGATGCAACTGGAAATGAGGTATTCAATCCTGAGTATCTTCGGTAGTAATCAATCGATGCTCACCTTCTCAACTGTATCACCGCTACGTTATCTCCCTCAATCTTTTCATCAGTTCTTCATCTCCATTCTTGCTCCGAAATCTGGAAAGCTCTTGATAAACGGTTTACTTCTCTTTCACGATCCCATATCCACCAATTGAAGAACAAATTGAACTCCATTAGCAAGAAATCAGATTCCATGGAGCAATACTTGAATCGCATTAAGGACATTGTTGATCAATTGCATCTGGCAACTGCTTCGATTGATGATGAGGACATTGTTTTGATTACCCTAAACGGTTTGCCCTCTGAATATGATTCCTTCAAAACTGCAATCCGAGCTCGTTTTGAGAGTATATCCATGGAGGAATTATCTTCCTTGCTCTGTTCTGAGGCAATACATGTTGAGAGTAAGGTAACTTCCAATTGCATCTGGCAACTGCTTCGATTGATGATGAGGACATTGTTTTGATTACCCTAAACGGTTTGCCCTCTGAATATGATTCCTTCAAAACTGCAATCCGAGCTTGTTCTGAGAGTATATCCATGGAGGAATTATCTTCCTTGCTCTGTTCTGAGGCAATACATGTTGAGAGTAAGGTAACTTCCTTTGATCTTACTGTTGCTTATGCTGCTTTCAAAGGTCCTTCTCCAAGTTCATCTTCTCCATCTACTCGCGGGCGTTTTGCTTCCACTCAGAGGGGCAGAGGTTCTTCTTATTGTAGTGAATCGCGTTTCTATAAGCCTGGTCGTGGTTCATTCCGTGGTCGATCTCCCAATCGTGGTCGAGCTTCCTATGGTTCTTTTTGTCAAATTTGTGGCAAATCTGGTCATAGTGCCTTTGACTGTTGGCATCGGCTTGATCCTGGCTATCAACCTCTTGATTTCTCCTCCTCTGCTTCACAGTCACAGGGGCCAGGCTCTAGGGCTTTTGTTTCTACTTCTGAGCATGGTCATGGTTCTTCCTCACAGTCTCCTATCTCTCCTTGGTTTCTTGATTCTGCAGCTACAGACAATATTACTAATGATCTCAACATTCTGAGTGTCTACCATCCTTACTCAGGACCTGAGCATGTTACTGTGGGTAATGGTTCCTCTATTCCTCTTCACAATACTGGTAAAGGGATCCTTTATACACCTCAGTTTTCATTTAAATTGAATTCTCTCTTACATGTTCCCTTCATCTCTTCTAACCTTGTGTCTGTTCATCATTTCACTAAAGACAATCACTGCACTATTACATTTGATCATGATGCTTTTATTGTCCAGGGCAAACACACGAAAGCTATCCTTCATAGAGGCTTCCATGTCAATGGTCTGTACCAGTTTGCCTTTCCTCCAGCTTTGATTTCTCCTCATGCTCTTCTCAACACCACTACATCTGTCTCAGCCTCTATTTGGCATCACAGATTGGGGCATCCGTCTTCTCTCAAATTTCAACATTTGCGTCCTCATTTGCATGTTACTAATTCTCTTAAACATTGTATCTCTTGTTCTGTTTCTAAAAGTCATAGGCTTCTATTTCAACTTTCTTCTTCTACTGTTAATAAACCCCTGTCCTTAATACACAGTGATATCTGGGGCCCTTTTACCCCATTTGTATCTGGTTTTCGATTCTATGTTTTGTTCATTGATGAATATAGCAAATTTACATGGCTTTTTCCCTTACATTACAAGAGTGAGGTATTTTCAAAATTTGTTGCTTTTAAAGCTTTTGTGGAAAAACAATTTAGCTTTCATCTCACTGTGCTTCGCACAGATGGTGGTGGTGAATATTTTAGTAATAAAACGGCTGATTTTCTTCTTACCCATGGCATTCTTTATCAGTCTACTTGTCCTTACACTCCATCCCAAAACGGAGTCGCTGAACGCAAACATAGGCATTTAACTGAGACTACTACTACTCTTTTACATCATTCTTCCCTTCCTCTTGCGCTTTGGTTTGATGCTTTAGCAGCTGCTACCTATCTTATTAATCGCTTACCTAGCCCTTCTATTTCTCACTCCACTCCTTTTGACATGCTTTATTATCGTCCTCCTGACTATAATATCTTAAAAGTGTTTGGGTGTTTGTGTTTTCCTTGGCTTAAACCATATTTTCCTTCTAACCTAATTCCTAAATCCATTCCCTGTGTGTTCCTTGGTTATCATCCTTCTATTAAGGGGTATCGTTGTTTGGATCCATCTACCGGTCGTATTTACATATCTCGACATGTTGTCTTTCATGAAACTGTGTTACCTTTCCATAAAGCTGAATCTTCTTCTTTATCTGTTTCCACTCCTCGTCCTCCTTCTTCCTTTTCTTGGTCCTCTCCTTCTACTATTCCTCTTTCTCCTGGTATTGGTTTCCTTTCTACTCCCCTTCCAGCCACTGTTCCTGCTCCAGCTTCTGTTGCTCCTGTCCTTGGCAATCCTGCAGCACCGTTTCGGGATACCTCTTCTAGATCTTCTATTTTACCTCTCCCTTCTCATGTTTGCCAGCTTCATAAGGCTCTCTATGGCTTGAAACAAGCCCCGCGCGCTTGGTATTCTACCTTTAGCTCTTTTCTGTTGTCTCAAGGCTTTGTCAATAGCAAATGTGATACATCTCTATTTGTTCATCGCACTGTTGGTTCTATTACTTATCTTTTGGTATATGTTGATGACATTTTGCTCACCGACAACAATCCTACTCAGCTTCAGTTTCTTTTTCCTCAAATGCATCTTGCTTTCTCTATGAAGAAGCTTGGTGATCTTTTTTACTTTCTTGGGATTGCTGTTCACTCTTCTTCTCAGGGGTATTTTCTTTCCCAGCAAAAATATGCTTCTGAGATTTTAGTCAAGGCTGGTATGCAATCTTGTAAGTAGGAATGGCAACGGGCCGGGCCGGGGCCGGGGATCATACTCCCGTCCCCGATCCCTGATGGTAGAAATTTCCCCGTCCCCGGCCCTGATCCCCGACGGGGAGCTTATCACCGCCCCCGTCCCCGTCCCCTAACGGGGATCGGGTTTCCCCGACCCCGAAAATTCCCCGATCAAAAAAACAGATCTTATATAGTCATCAACAACAACAATGTTCATCATCATCATCATCATCATCATCATCATATATGCGTAAATCAGATTTAATATGAAGGTTAAAAATAGATGTGTATAATGCAAACAAATTAAATTTGTGTATAATGAAACAAATCAAATATGTAGAACAACAAATATGTGTATAATGAAAACAAATTTAAAAAAAAAAAATTATGTTTGATGAACAAAAATTAAATCAGTAATTTTTTTTTTATTATGTTTCATCATCATCATCAACAAAAATCATCAACTTAAAAACAAAAAAACACGGATCAAATCACAGAGAGAGAGATGAGGTAGGGCGGTGGTGGTGGTGGATCTGGGTCTTGCACACACGGATCAGATCTGATCTCACGGCCGGTGGTGGTGGTGGATCTAGATCGTGTGGTTGAGCAACTCCGGCGGCTGAGAGAAAGGATGAAGTCGAAGACATCACGGTGGAGATGGATGGTGCGATCAACAGCGA